AGCATACTTTATATACTGGGTCATTAACATATAAATTTTGGCTTCAAGCACCCCGTGCTTATATTTTTTGTTATTTTTTTTTTTGTTAATCACACTTCATAATTTAAATTTATTGTAAATTATTTATACGTTTATATACCAAAGTGTGTTTTTTTTTAACCTATTTATTTCATAATGATGAACAAATCGACACCAATTTATTCATTATAACTAAATAAATAACAATACCAAATTATTCATTCACACTTAAACAACAGTACCTGGAGGACCGAGTTCTCGGTGCTCGGTTTTTTTTGGTAAATCATATATTTTGGAAATAAAAAATGTAATAAATAAAGAAAATGATCTGGTATAGAAAAAAAGTAAAAAAATAAGTGTGTAAATGATCGTGATACGAACCGCGGCCGTCTGTTTTGGGGCCGCCCGATTACCGCTATTATAACATTTTTTTTTGCGGCGAATTTACTGTCATATTTGAATGTCCTTTTATCCCTGAAAACAGGGATAAAAGGACATTTTCTAAAAATGAAATCTAGCTAGATCGATTTTTCGCCCCCGAATCTACGCATATACTAAAAATCGCTGGAGCCGTTGCCGAAATTCCTTATATATATATATACAAGAATGGCTCGTTTAAAGGGTAAGATTCATAATAAGTGTATTTTTTAATTGATATTAAGAAACATTTGAGCGGGACAACAATATTTCTTTAGTTGTATAGTCTTATTTAAATTCCTTAATAATTGATAAAGAGATTTATTTTTGGACGAGTCGTGATAACCCAGTGTCCAGGCGCTCGCTTTTAATTTAATATACTCGGGCAACCAGAGTTTAAATCCCGGTGCCAGCACCAATGAAATTGTTAATTGAGATAATTGAATGTTCTGAGTTATCACGCGCTCGGCGGTAACCTGTTTATTATCGAAATAATAACAAAAAAAGGTTTGAAAGATACGAATTCTGCCAATACGCATTGGTGTCCCTCTTATTCTCTGTAATATTCTCGGTACAGAGGAAGCCTCTACCCAGCAGTGGGACTTGTATAGGTTGTTTCTTACTTTTTTCATAGTTAAGAGTGCTCTCGCATTCAAGTAGTGGATTTATTGCCATGTCACCCCTTTCATTCTTTGACCCCAAAACACTAAAGCGCTTTTAAAAGATGTATGAAAAATGTAATTATATCATATATGAGAAAATTGACATTAAAATTTTTAAAGCGCTTCATAAAAAATATAGACATTGTGCAACGACCGTTCTCTGCCCAAAAATAACAAAATCGATGAAACGAAAATAGACTGCTTTAGCCACACGATCCAGACAGGGCCAAACGATGCTATTGATACTCAAAGTGGGCAGAATCTACGTTTAACTTAACAAACATTTATTCTCGATTTAATATTTGCGACATTTTGATCAGCATTTATTTTTAATTAACGCAAGCGTCAAGTTTTAATAGGGCCATTAACATTTTGCTTAATTGTGCTGCTAATGACCAAGTGCATAAGTTGAATTAAGACAACCACATCAATTTAGTAAACAAAACAAAAATAAAATATAAAAGTTAACCATCGATTGATAAAAGTTTGCATAGTGCAAACTATTTTATTACTTATTACTATCTTTATTACTCGTGTATATCTGTAACGATAAGAAATAACTTGATGGCATCTAAATTAAATTGAATTTTTGAACGAATCAATATAAAACAGATGCATGGACAAAATTTGCATACTTCACTGTAATAACGTGATGGTTTGAGGGTGGTTTTTGATGCTAACGTAGATAGCGAAGGGTTAAAGTACCGATATTTACAGTCAGCCATCGGAGTTGATACGAAAACTATGCTTCGATGGTAAAACAGGCGTGTAGACCAGCGCGTATTTCACACACAATTCCAGATTTTAGTAAGTCCACGAAAACGATAGTATTTTCTCTAGCCCCGTGTCCGACAAAGATGGCAACATCATCCAGTAAAGATAAAGATCCACAATTGGCTTATCGCTTACATAACAATTTATAACATTTTGGCCTCTAACAGAAAACACACAGTGTATTATGTATGGTAAACAACTTATACAAGTATATTAAGGTAATTTATCCTAATTTCCCAAGAGGCAAATGATATCCCTAAGAGCTATTTCGGTTCTTGACACGGTTGCGAAGTTTCTCGAGACAGTCTCATTTTAAATTCCATCGCTGAAAAAGTAGGCAATTTTGCTTTAACCTTTAGATATTTCGAACAACGTTTTTAAAGGAGAAATTTATATTACCCTCAAACAATTAGGGCTTCTAAGCAATTTGCAGGCGAATATTATATCTGCAATAGTTTAATAATAATAAGCACATCTACGCCATTCAAATGTATTTTAACAATGTCGAACCCTTCGTACTTATTAGTGCACATATTATAGTTATAGTGCTAAAAGCAGTTGCGCCCCGTCCGACGACCTCATCGCGACGCTATTGTGCCAGCGAACGGTGCTCATGAAATATGGACGGATTGCTGAAAGAATGTCCATACCCCGCCTTGTTTGTCTAAAGACCCATACATTATTATTAAAATATTAAATGTGGATCGATTAAGTTTCGGATTTACTCACGTATTTTAATGGACCCGTTTAAATTGTAAGCCATTGCCATAAAAAAAAGAGTCAAAAGAAAACAGTTTATGAGTTTCAATTTTACGATTCTCACTAAAACAAGTTCGGTGTTGTCGCATTTAAATATTCCTTAAAGTATTTTTTTAATGTGAGAAAGTGGCAAACTGTGATAACCGCTGCCCATGGACATTTGCAACACTCGTGGGTTGCAAATTCGGTGCCACCTTTAAAAAAAGTGGGCCCCGGCTTTACGCCGGTCTTCTGTGAGGTCGTGATACGTACCCTTTGTTTTATGTAAAATAAATTTTAAATCACTTAAAATAGGGAACATTTCATCATTTCGTCAATTATTATGAAATTTACAAAATAACATGTAGTTCCAAAGATTGATTAAAAAAATTAAGTACGAGGTATAATTCTGTAATTTGACCAATACGTACCGAATAATACATTTCTCTTTCACGTAAAATATTCAGAGGCTACATCTCAACAACAGGCTTCGCATCACAATGCGAGCAACAATCGCAAGCGCAAATGTTTATGAACTGCGTCGTCAAGTCATTAAGTCTTTTGCAAAATTAAAAACCCTTGCTGCCTAGTGCAGTTAGGAAATTCGTACAATGAAAACAATTTATTTCTAGTTTTCTTCATTTTAAAGTCCTTTTAAGAAAAAAGACGTTTAAGTGTTATATTAGATTTTGAATTTTTAAACTGAAGATTATCTTCAGAAAAATACAACTTGTTACTTTATTTGTAGGTAATTATGTATACTGTAGATTGTTCTAGTTCTTTATATTAAAGTAGCGGACCGGACAGACGTTGTCGTGTACACACGTCTTGAATTCGAAACTTTCAAACTTTTTGAATAAATATGTGAATCTAAACCATTCTCGAATCGACTTGAAGACACAAAAAAATCATTAAAATCGGTCCAGCCGTTTAGGAGGAGTGTAGTGACATACACAGGTACAGAAGATTTATATAATAAAGATGTGAAGAAGAATGAATAAAATATGAACAAGAAAATATGACACTAATTTTTCACATTGGCCAATTGTTGAATAAACTTTGAAAATTATATGCATAGTGTTAAAATTGATTGACTGATGAAACCCCAAATTATTTAACCAAATTAACTGTAAAAGTAATAATTTTTTCGAAGCCTTTAAGGCAATTAAGGTATTTTTTTTAAATGTGCTGACTGTACTATTAAGTAGACAGTTAATTATATACGGACGCAGGAAGAAATTATTAGCGCTTTAATTGAAAATATGTTTGGAGAACACGCCGCATTTCAGACATTTCGCACCAAATAAGCCCGTTATTCCTACTCTATTACGTTCTTATCCCCAAAAATGTAAATGAGATATCCGATGCCTTGCCTTCTTGGGTGGTTTGCTCCAATTATTGTTAACATCAATAATGGTAATCACAGCCGTGATAGCTCAGTGTCCGGGCGCTCGCCTTTAATTCCATATACTCGAGCAACCTGAGTTCGATCCCCGGTGCCAGCACCAATGAAATCGTTAATTTTAAGTGCTTTATCACGTGCTCAACGGTTAAGGAAAACATCGTGAGAAAACCTGCATATCCTGCATTCAAAATAACAAAAAAAAAACAATATTTCGAAGATATGTGAAGTTCGCCAATCCGCAGTGGGGCCGCGTGGTGGACTATGCCCTGATACCCTCTATAAAAGAGGAGGTCTTTGTCCAGCAGTGGAATATGTATAGGCTGCTACTTTTGCTGGCTTTTTACAATAATGTCTGTAAAGCTGGAAACAGAACTAAATAAAAATGTGAGATACTTAAAACATTTGTGTAATATAAATGTTGTCGAATTTTCTTAGTGCAAGTATAACAAACAGGTTTTTGAACTAGGTATTAATTTTGTGCTTGCGACCGGTGGTTTATACTTAGTTATTCCAATTTTGATTAAGTTTCTTTATCGTTTAAATGTTTGTATGTGAAAAAGGGTATGTCGCTATTCTAGAACTCTACCTTTTTCTATTTTCCACAATATCTTATAATTTATATAAATATATAATAGTGTATTTACATTAATTTGCAGCAAAACATAAAATGGTATGATTAGTAACGGCGAAACGTTCGACTCACCCACACTGGAAAAGTTAGTTTTAACAGGATAGTTGACAATCGTGATAATAATATTTTAACATGTATCACGGTAGACAGTCAGCACAATGCATATTCCCAAGGTAAACAAAGATTACGTAAACTCAATCCCACGCACGCACGTTACCCGATCGATTCTCAAACTTTTGAATACGCCCACTAATAATTTACAAGACCATCGACTAGACTCACTCGTATTGCGCTACAACACCGCATCCAAAGCACTACGACGTCGGCCTCCTGTGCCCTTGAAGTTGTACAGGTTATGTTATCGATAAAGCACAACACGCGCACTGACAGTTCGGACAAACAATCACTGGACAAGTTTCAAGCCGGTCCCGTAGAGTACGTTGAATCGAGACGCGCCATGAGTACGATTCATATGCACTGGAAGAGTCTAAGGTGTGTTATGGTGCGTTTCGAGAATAACAATAACGGAGCGTCCGCGGTCGCGACACAAAACGAGACCGCTTCCCTCGACGTCGGGCACAGACTGAGCGCCGAGGACGCCGCCGACCGTATGGCGACTGGTTAAGTGCGATGCGACCCCGCACTCCGCCGCGGGTGCTGTCGGCTGGTTGCCCTGTGCGCGCGCCTCTCGACGCACATGACAACGAGAAAAAAAACACAGCATAACGCGTTATCAGCTTAATTCAATATTTCTTCCGCGTGAAGGCTGATAAATAATCTGAGACACGATAACTGCAGCCAAACTGTACGGTAACAAAACAATCCAGCCGGAAAGGTATTGCATTTCCGGCTGGATTGTTTTAAGCTTTTTGTACTTGCACCTTACTTATCGTTTATTTTTTGAACCTGTGTAGAATTATACAACAGGAATAAGATTTATGAAAGGGTAAGAGTATCGAAATTATTTAACTTTTTAATGTCTAATAAATATTTGTACTTATAAATTTTATTCTGTTGTAAATACTAGTAGATATTTTACTAATAACTATGTAATATACAGCGTGTCGTTACCATCGCGACAATAAATGAACACACGTCTAACGCTACTTGCCAATAATCATAAAAAAATATTAACGTTACACAAAATCCATAATAAAAAAAAATATTTTTCAAACTAACTAATTAAGTAAAAAAGAAACAAAATTTGTAACATCCTATACAACTCGCGCCACAGCGTCGCATTACAAGCCTCTCCTTCTAACAGTATGTTTTGTCTCTTTTAAATTCATTCAACCCATTCATATGCTTTGTGACCTTTACAAATGAACTTTACGTTACGCTTTTATAGGTAAGGGTGTTCTTAAATTTTTTGTTTTGGAAAATTTAATAACTGTGTAAATATTGATGTATAAAGAATTTAAATGTTTAATACAACTTGTAAAAGTTATTCCCTATATTTTTGTTCATTTATTGTCGCGATGGTAACGACACGCTGTATAGTTATTAGATATTTAAAATTATGTACATTAAATCTATCTAAATTATCTATATGATATATAGATATAGTCAAAGTTACTACTGCTTTCACAATTAACGGAGGTCACAAACTCACCGTCCCTGAACAGCGGACGTGACCTTATGCAAAACATCACACCATTGCTTTACAATACTTGAATATTTTTCATAATCAAAGGTAGTATTACGTAAGCAAGTACATATTTCAAGATTTTAAGTCTTTTAGACCCTATTTGTGCACAAAAGGATAATGAGATAGTTAATGTTATTAGTGTTTCGATCTTTCCGCCTTTAGTCTCAACCGTGATACATATCACAGTACATCGAATAAACATAAATGTAATACATTGTATTTAATTCTGCATTAAAGGAGCATATAACTACAAATGATAATTTTAAATATCGTATTTTTTAAGTCCGCGTAACGGTAAACGATTATGAAACAAGAATTTAATGATCAACCAAAACGATGCAACTCATATCGCATAGAAACTGCTGAGCTACCTGATCTTAAGAATTTAGAAATAGTTGGGCGTCAAAACCTTTATTTTACGACCCACACCGGTCCCGGTTCCGGTAGTTTTTTGAGATACCTTTATAGAGTTAATTGGTTATCTTAGTAGGGCGATGGCAGTTCTTTAAATAAGATTTAAGGCGAACAACATTATTACTCTCTTAATAATTATCTCACACACGTATTTTATAGGAACAGTTTACCCATTAGCTTTGATATATAAGTCTGAGTAAAGCATACCATATAATTATGTAATGCGAAAGAAATAATAAACGCTAATATATTGTGTTATTATATTATTAATAGTATTAATTAGTATGTATTAATATTACAATTTGCGGAAATCGGTTACTTGTATTACACAAATTTTGCCTTGAATGGTAAACTTATCTACAAACCGCAAATCTAGTGTAGGTGGGTCTACCTAACCACATGTTAATATTCTCTATGAAGTAGGCATCATGCGTATATCTCCGACATTTGAAATGTTATTGCTAATGTAAGACCACCTTACAACTAATACACAATATTTGAATTTTGATGAACAAATTTTGCTTTCAGTCTGTTTATAATTAAAGCTTCAGCGAAAGTTCTGGCCATCCCTCGAGCTAGACGCAATATTTTGTTTAATCTTCAGTGGCTTAAAAATCTTAATCACTACATAGTATAAAATAAAGTCGTCCCGCTGTATGTCCATTCCTATGTATGCTTAGATCTACGCAACGGATCTTGATACGGTTTTTTTTACTAGATAGAGTGATTCAAGAGGAAGGTTTATATGTATAACACATTGCACCCGTGCGAAGCCGGGACGGGGCGCTAGTTTTTCAATATATTACTTGGAATTGTATTAATATTTCATTTTCAACATACCAGTCGATTCTTTCAGCAGGCACTTCTTAAGGCTAGATTTGCAATGAGTTTTAATTTTTTAGATTTCATAGGTTAGCTTATTTTTAATATTAGGCTTTGGAAAATACCAGTCCAAACTTAGTTTGATTCTTTTAGCTTTTGAAATTTTATAATAAGCTTAGATGCACACAAAGGAGGTCACATATCAAAAAATTATTCGACTTAGGTACCCTTTTCTAAGCTTCTGAACGTGACACCACTAAATTTCGACGCTATTTGCGTGTGATTGCATAGTACATCAGCATCTGAATGGCCTGCAGTAGATTAGACTATTTTGAATACCAGATGAAGCTTTGACCATACCGCAAAGGTGTTACATCGGTTAAAGCGAGGATAAGTGGACGAGGGAATGACAAAATGGTGCTATGTTTGCTACCATTATATTCGAACACGGGTGTTGCAATTTTAAGGATGTAAGTCATAAATGCATACTTAACGGTAAGTCCTTTTCCAAATAAATCAATACTTTTTGTTTAATCTTATATTAACAATTGCATTGATATTTTTACCCAACTGCCGAAGGAGGGTAACGGTTGTCCATATGTATGTTTGTGTAATTTTTAGTACGCTAAACAGCCTTAGATTTTTAGCGGCTTTCTAAATATTAGGTAAAATTAGATTCGTCTCAGTTGTGGGATTGAAATGGTGTCCGTGAGAAAAAGGAGAGAATATCAAATTGGTCAACAGGGTAAAAAACAAATCAATATTCAGTTATTAATTAATGAGATGACTTGATAGTTTATTAACGCCGAGTACAAAAAAAAATCCCGCTGAGTTTCTTTCGGTGGTTCTTCTAACTTTCTTTCCGAGCCGGTGGTAGTATTTTGACTCTCAATGTGTGAGTGTAATGCTCCTATGTCGAATAAGGATATTTGAATTTGAATATGAACGGAAATCAATTGAACAGTTGACGTCTTACCTGGTCAACTGCAGACAAAGTTTACCGTGAACGATTGTTTCCTGTTATGCGTTTTGTTATTTATTAATGATATTCAATTAGTGATCGCGTATACCGTTGGCGATGAGTGTTTTGTACGCAGCATGTCTCAACGAGCGGATTCTTCGTAGTTTCCAATATAGAAAGCACAATTAAAAGCGTTTGCTGTTCCATTATTTATTACTCGTTATTTACATGTCTTATTGATAAAAATGCATCCCAAGGCTTAGTAAAAGCAAGGTTTGCATGACTTTTTTTGTATAAATTTTTTGTATATTTTGAATACTATAAACGGTTTGAAAACTTTTTAATATAGTACCGTCCTTGCTTTTAAAAAAATAAAGAACTGATTCTAACTTTTTAAAATTCTGTATATTAATTGATGAAAGGAAAAATAAGTAGTTTGATGCCTTTTGTATATCTTTCAGTTTCGATTAAAACCTTAAATAAACATCGATTCTAAACTCTTAATGTATTGCTATAGGTTGATATTGACATTGTGGATTGGACTTCACATATGTTGGAAATATTATATTTTGTTATTACTTCGAAATTATGCATCTTGTTTTGCCTCACGATGTTTTCCTTCACCGCAGCTTTTAAAAAAATAAAAAACTGATTCTAACTTTTTAAAATTCTGTATATAAATTGATGAAAGGAAAAATAAGTAGTTTGATGCCTTTTGTATATCTTTCAGTTTCGATTAAAACCTTAAATAAACATCGATTCTAAACTCTTAATGTATTGCTATAGGTTGATATTGACATTGTGGATTGGACTTCACATATGTTGGAAATATTATATTTTGTTATTACTTCGAAATTATGCATCTTGTTTTGCCTCACGATGTTTTCCTTCACCGCCGAGCGCGTTATAAGTCAGCTGATGATTAACAAATTGTTAATCAACAGCTGGTGCTTGCATCAGGATTTGAACTCAGGTTATTCGAGTGTATTTGAAATAAAAGCGAGCTATTCCTCTTATTACCTTTCCTGTAATTACCTCTACGTATTCGTCACTTGAGCCGTGACGTAATCTAGCAATTAAATTATTTGTAGTGTTATATGTATTTATATATCATAAAGTTTACTAAAATATTAATTATATGAAACACATATAATACGCTACAACGTCTACGTATAACCGTCATCATATAATTTTGTACAGGAAAAATGTACGTATCGTTCGAGCACCTAAGCTAATAATTGCGTTCGCTTACTCTAATGTAAGACGAAAAGTCTTCTCCGTTATTATTTTGTTTTCCTAAAGCTATTATAACAACTCCATTATTCAAGTGTCACTTGACGGAAGCGGGTTACATTTATCACAAAATATTCGTGACATCTCTTATTCTAGAACGAGTATTCGTATGAAGGATACAGTTGTTTAAAAAGAAAAAAATATTGAAAATTACAAATGATATTCGTACTTAAAAACATGAAAACTAAGAGGATCTTTTTGAGAGTCTCACTGTCTACACTGTCACTGTGTCTAGTCTAGTAATGGGGTGTAGGAAATAACATTAACGTCCATGATGGCGTTTATTTCCGGTCATGATATATGATTTCATATGAATTCTAATAATTTATATATAATATTGCTTTACTTAATTCTGAGTTTTGGTTAAATTCAAGCCTAGTTTCCAGCAGCAGAACCAGAATTTATTTTATAGAATTATCTGTCATTGAAATTCTGTTCACTATGGTAGCGTCCGTGGGCAGACGACACCTGGAGTCAGGAGAAACAACATAGTTGCTGAACAACGTGGTAGGGCCACGCAACAATGTAGATTGTTGCATGTCCCTACACGATTGTACCCTACATGTTACACGAATTGGCAGGTCCATCTGGGTAAGTACCACTACCTCACAGAGGACCGGCGTGAAGTGAATGAGCGTGAATGAGGTATTCGGGGCCCCACTTTATTAAAAGCTGTCAACGCATCTGCAACCGTTGTGTTGCAAATGTCAATGGCCATTCATCGATCACTTAAAGTCAAGTATGAAAATCGACGACGACTACACGATGACGCCACAATTCTGCTACATCTCCACGAGGCGTATAATACGTATACTATCCAAGGGTCTCTCAGAGAGAGGTTCGAACTTCTATTTGGTCCGAAATCGGCAGGCGCGTCCGGTATAAATGTATTTATAATTTTGCGTGTCATCCGGGAGTGTGGTAGCCGGTGCGCTCCTTCCTAAACTTTTTCAACGCTCCTCTAACCTCACGGTTGTGGTCATCCTTACAATAAAAAGAATGGTGAAATCATTGAACCTAAGATAAAAATTATATAATAACAATATGAAACAAATAAACTCCCCGATGAAGTTTTTGGGGCTTTTGCTGCAACACATTAAATAAGCGTTATTAAAAGTAACGATGAAAGCAATTATGTCGGGTGTTTAGTAATCATCGCATATTTCGACCTTGATTCAGTTAACATCAATATTTGAACCTAGCCGCCAGTCGCAACTCATTTGCGGCCTATTTCCTGTTCAGACGCGGCTCAGACATCCCGCCATTACACAATATGTACAAATATAGTCACTAAGCGCGGCGTGCACCGGTAATCCTCCCGTTTAGTAATAACTTTGGCATGATTATGAGAGCTGGTATAAAATTAGAGGGAAGCTGCTGGTGAGTACAAAAAGATGGATATATAAAAGTTGTAATTGTAAGAAAATTATTGTTATCATTTCAAACGGTTTAGTAAAAATCACAACTGTACCGTCAGTGGGCAAAGCGACAATCAAATAGATTATCGCTATATTCAAATTAAAAACAACGGTAAATAAATCAGAAGTTTGGGATTAGGTAGCGAGAGCAAGAAAGAGACAAGTATTGAAACATTATTTTTTTTATATTTTTTAGTATTAATTATGTTATATAGATAAGTGAAGCTCGTAAATAAGCAGCTAACCTGATGATAAATGAACCTTAACACGTTTCGGGCTGCGGTCGCGATGCCAACAACTTTGAAGTTCAGTCAAACTTAATGCAAGAAATTCAATTCTTCTCTTTTTTAAACATTATAAGTACAGATACTAAAATTCACTAAACCCAACATTAGCTAGGAGAAAACGCATCGGAAATTTGTCTAATAAAGTATCGAGTGAGGAGATTGTTACTGTGGGCTTCCGTGGATATCCATTATCCCACAAATACACATGACATCAAGCTTTTGCTTCGAGTATACCTTATGCTTTCAATATTCAGCGATTCACTACGCAACCGTGATGTGCTTACATTCCATGTTGCAATGCTTGAAACCTTCTCCGCTCCGCTGAACCCACGTTTAGCGAACTCTCCGATTGTTTGCTGTTTTTTTTTTCATCTTCGTATAACATATGCGGTATACAATAAACGTAGAGGATTTATAAAGTACAGTTAACGAATAATAAGTTTTATATTCACGATGCTGTTAAATTTTTACACGAATCATACGAACCCTTAGAAAATCCAAATTCAAAATGTAGCTGGCACATAAAACGCGCTAACATGAGAATAGTTAGCGCGCTTGAAACGCAGACTGTTTACGCTGTTTCTAAACTGTTGTTGGTTTCATTGTGGGGGTGCACGGCTCTCATTCATCTTAAACCTTTTCAGTCGCTTGGTTTAATTCCAGCCGAGACGATAGTGGCGCCGCGCCGCGCCGCCACGGGAGACATAAAAACGCTCATTTGCATTGGTGCTCCCGCCGCGGACCCGGTATTTATCCAGTGTTATCCTGCCGCATAATAAGAGAACACTGCTTTTACTGCGCCAAACCCGCTGAGTCGCTGTAAAACCATAATCCTTTGAAGAAAAAACATGGAATCTCTTTAGAGAATACCGTTAATTAGCCAAAGTACATTAAACACGCGGATGGACGGCTTATATATTAATAAGCAGGCCTTTGTTTCACAGTTGGATTACACACGATTGTACTTTTTGTTAGCATCATTTTTATTGATCGTTTAATGCTGTTTTGTTGAAAACACGATAGCCAGTAACAGTCTTATTTGCTCTATATCGTAAACAATTTCATTTAGCCTATAATCTTAAGTTGAATAATTTAATAGAAATGTTAAATATTGTGGTGAATTGACATAAAAACGTAGTAACACTTAAAATTAAATGTTAATTTCATATATTTACGATGATTACACATTCATTCATTCAATTACAATTAATAGACAATTTATTAATAGACAACTTCAAAGACGACACTTAATTAATAGACAACTTCAAAGACGACACTTGACAAAGAAAGAAATAAAATTTTAGATCTCATTGACATAAATTCATTAATAAAATTTATTTATAGATCAGAATAGTTTTGAATATTTCTCCAGTTTTAAGAATCAATGATAAAACAATATTGCACTCTGATGTCCCTAATATGCCTTTAAGGTTTAGAAGCTTGTAATTTCCCCAATTAATATTTTTAGTACTCTAAAATATCAAGAGCTTACCTGCTGTTTAATTACTACCCACTTTTACACTGCTTTATACGTGTTAATAATAAACATATTATTTATTTCATAAGAAAACAGCTTACAGATTGGGGAAGCGTTTGATAAACATACGAATATCGCGCCTAACTTCCGATGCAAGGTAAAGTAATAAATAGTAATAAGAAGTTATCTTCATCGGCCGTTTCATTTCCGCGTCGGACCTATCGCTACATTTCAGGGTCCGTCTCCCCTATTTTATTTCTGTTCTTTCGGAATATTTCCAGTAAGTTCAGCTGAACATGAAATTGGTGAAATATATGTGCATTTGTTTGCTATCTGTGATCAACTATTTCCATTAAGGGAAATAAGCAATTGGTAGTGTTTTTCCAAAGAGCAGTTGGCATTCTACCGATCACCGGTTTGTGTGGTAAGCGATCACCGCTGCCTGTCATTAGATCCTTAACATCACAGGGATTGCATTTGCGTTGCTGATATTCGATATGGAATATTTATTTTTGCTTTTCTACTTCATTCCGCTTGACGTGTTGCCCAATCTATTCAATGAACGGCAAGTATGACTTGGCTCTTGAACAGTTTACAATAATCTATTAAATATAACAGTGTTTCTTACATTACTAAAAGTAAAAGAAGGAACTTGAAAAAGAGAAAAATCATCTGGACTTGAACCGTTATCATCTGGTTTCGGAATATGGTTCACCTGAGATATTATAACTTTGTAAACCGGTGGCGATATTTACTTTCGTATTCGATGATATCGTAGCAGTTTTTCATTTCCAAAAAACAATAAAATGACGTTTCCTAAAAATGAAACCGAGCTTGTTCGTTTCCGACATATATACTAGAATAGCTCGTTTAAAGTTATTAATAAATATATATTTATATATAATTATAGAGATAGATGGACAAAGTAGTAATTGCCTAGTGCTCGTAACATTTTACTTGGGAGCGGATGTCGCCGGTGTGCAAACTGCAGGAAAGCCTATGTCTTATGCATGCATGTATGCAAAAAGATTGAATATCAAATCCAAAAGGCAGTAAAAGTTACTGGCCTAGATTGTTCAGGTGGACAACTTCGTAAAAAAAATAATTAAGCTTGTTATTTATTCGTGGACCAAGAACATCGTAGCATGGAATCGTGCCAACAGAGATATGGCTGTCGGTGTTCAAATGCTTTTATCGACGCCATTTTGGGTGACGAAAGTTGTGTCCATTCGATACAGACTTAAAAGCTAAAATTCTATTTTATCTGGTGCCAAGAAATCTAAGAAGACAATCATACGGACGAGTTAACCATAAAAGAAGACGTCAAAGTTGTTTATAGGTAATGATTTTCTTATTTATTAATAAATATTTACAAAATTACTTAGATGATTTAAGATAGGCGATGTTTTACAGTAACTTTACTGAGACTACATGTGTTTAGTCTCCCGTTAGTCTCCCGTTTGATTTTATATCCCCGCACTCGTTTCGTTCGTTCTCACATCGCATACGCGCCCACAAATTGCAATACCGACTGTTTTACGTTTTTAAAACTGGAGCGAGATATCGCTTAGCCTTAAAGGTTGTACAACGTAAAAATCTAATTAGTTTCAATTTTTACAAACATTAGCGGTATTTTGTGATATAAGTGCAGAATCAGATCAGAAACACTAAGATGAATATAATTCTTAGTGTTACTGATATTTTTCTTAACTGCTCCGAAGCAGAACTAGGTATAATTATCACCAAAGTTGATGGTCACTTGCATAATGTTTCATTACATTTTACTTTTAAACATTAATAACGTGGTGCGAGATCCATTTACATTAAAGACTTCCCGTATAAATATACAATAAGTTTTTTTTACATATTTACCTTATTTGTGAGTAATAAATCAGAGATAGGTGAGTAAAACTAATTATTACCTGAGTAGAAAAATATTTATATTAGTAAAAATATTAGAAAATATACGGCATTTTTGCCTTTAAGATTAATGTAAAGTTCATAGATAAAACTTTTGGAATTGTGATATTTAAATATTATTACAGGCATATCATATCATATAACAGGCCTTTAAATCATGCAGGGAACCAAATATTCCAAAAAAAAAAAATTAGCCACGTGCGAGTCGCGCACGAAGGGTTCCGTACTATTATCTCTAAAGACGGCGAAAAATCATGTGTATTGTATAGGAGCCCCACTTAAATATTTCTTTATTCTGTTTTTTAGTATTTTTTGTTATAGCCGCAACAGAAATACATCCTCTGTAAAAATTTCAACAATCTAACTATCACAACAATTCATGTAATACAGCCTGATGACAGACGGATAGATAGACAGGCATCAAACAGACAACGAAGTCTTAGTAACAGAGTCCCGTTTCTCACTTTGGGTACGTAACCCTAAAAAAAGGTTCCTCGTGAATAAAAAAAGGCGGATTAAAATAAAGCTACTGGCGTAGAACTTTGCATTAAACAAAAAAAAAATGTGTCCGGTCTCGGAGAGAGTTGGGACCTCACTAATGGCGATCCCAAACGCCAATTATGGGAATTAAACACTCGACCCTCACATTTACAACGCTGTTTTTATACATGATTTTCATTTTTGGCGATCCAAACGATTGACATTCTTTTTTTGTTTTCAGTATAAATTTATAGTAAAGTAAGTAACGTAGTAAGTAAGTAATGAAAGCAGTATAAATTAATAGTATTTTTTGCAATCATCAATTAATTATACATTTTCCATACTAAATCATTGTGAGCCGATATTACTGTACTGTTGTGACCTGGTTAATTATAATTATGACAGCTTGATGACTCCGTGGCGCAGTTGCTAAGGTATTGACTTCGGCGTCGGGGGTCGTGGGTTCGATTGTCACACGGGACAACTATTTCTGTGACCCACAGACAATTGTTCCGCATCTGGGTGTTTGTCCACGTGAAATATATGTCTGTAAAACGTCCTTACAACACAGGATAATGTTATCCAAAAGTAAGGATAAATATTTTAAAAAGAAATAAAAAAAATCCTTACTATCCTTACTAATATTATAAAGGCGAAAGTTTGTATGTATGGATGGATGTTTGTTACTCTTTCACGAAAAAACTACTGAATAGATTTTAATGAAACTTTACGATACTATAGCTTATACACCAGAATACAGATATAGGCTATAATTTAAATACATTATTTTATGTATATCTGTCTTTCTGTCTTAATAGTACGCCTTCAGCCTATTGTGCGCATACGTAGTCGCGGGCAGCAGCTAGTAACACTATATTCTTGACTATATTCAAAAGGTGAAGTCATAAAAAACATAATTAATACGCTTGAAAATTCAAGATAACCCATGAGCCATTATTATGACCTTATTATCCCGGTGAGCATACAGTTACAACAAGAATATACTTAATATGTACATACATACAAAAAGAGTAGTGATAGCTCATTTTCCGGGCACTCGCTTTTAATTCTATATACTCGATCAAACTAATACTAACAAAAACCTGTTCAAAAGTAAAAGGAATAACAGCTCGCTTAGAGGGAACGATCAGTAAAGATGGAATAATCCGGACCATCAGCGTTCGGACGTACCGTGACCCCTGTGGCCGGAGACTGTATTAAACGTTCGCAGGATCAGTGCGAGAATCGTCCTGGAAAGCGGGTGTATGGTTTCTCCCGACTGGTGGGCCTCAAGATAAATATAAACAAGACGATCATGTCTAATGTCCATATTGTCCATTTCATCTATACCGGTTATTGTTGGGAGCACTAAGTTCAGTTCATCCGGTTAGATAAACCAACTTTGACGCATAGGTCAATCGATGAATCAAACTCAGATAGGCAGCGTTCGGGACACTTCGGCTATCTTCTAACTATCCTCTCGTCCAGCATCCCTCAATGCTTCAAGACTAAAGTATTCAATCAACGTGTCTTCAATCAATGTGCCAGTGATGAACTACGAAACTGAGATGTGGTCGTTCACTGCTGGTCGAATGAGGAAGCTCAAAGACTCTCAGCTATGTTCCGCGTGCTCGGGGTTTCTTCGTTCGGGTCTTTCACTGCGAGATAGTATCATAATGGAAGATATATAGAACAAATATAAACGACTTAGCTCAGAAAATTAGTGGTAATGAGCCGGTCTTATACTTGGTAGAATAGAAAACCGATGGGTAGAAATATTCACGAGTGGCAGTAGCTTACAGAACATCGTAGAGAACGGATGGCTCACCACTAAATGAAGTGACGAACTGGGCAAATGTACGGAAAGTCGATGAATGCAGGTGGCTCAGGTTCGTG